TTACTATTTTGTTTAAGTATGATGCGGCACGCTTGTGTACCACGCCACGACGTTGGTCGTTGAGTGGTGTTCATTTTGCTAACTACTTCAATGTTCTGATGAGTGAAGGGAAAAGCCAAAACGATTGCTAGTTTTCGATTGCTTCGGTTCTGGTAAGTGTGTATCTAGTGTGATTCGAACCCATGTCGTTTGTATTGGGCGGTTTTTCATTTCCCATGTTGGCTATGCCGTAATATGCAACCACTTCCCCGTTTTATTATGATTTTGTGAGTGTACAATGATGCCTCACCCGTCACGCCATGACCCAGTTTCAACCACACGGCCATTTTGGAACACAGTTCGTGACCCTTGGCGTGACCCGACTGGCTATATGATCGTTCTGTTCAACTGTTAAGCTAGGATTTATCACCGTTATTATCATTATATTGTCACGTGATTTGTTTTACCTTATGTGTAATGTCTTAAGTATCTTTATTGTAATTTGCATATACCAATTCGTATATACCGAGGAAACGACCCCGATTGAAGGTCATGTATTTTATGACGTCACCAATTCGTGTGTAGGTACTGCTTCTAGATATGTGCCAATCTCTTTTCTACCTCCATGATACAACTTACAAGGTTTAAGTTTTTTTCTTGTGTACACCCCAATTAAGCCAATTCCTGGTCAACAGCAGACGTATTAGCTGTGTTTAAATTGGGTAACTGATATATAACGAGATTAATAGTTACCAAGCATTATGTTCAAACACTTTACTGCGGTCTGTAAGTAATCTTGTTCCAAATTGTGGTCTTTTAATCGAATCTGCATCACTTCCACCAGTGGCCATGCTTAAGTCATGAGGTATACGCCACCAACGTTGACCCTTGCTTGCGGAAGTGACGTTTTAGGTGTTTTTGGGAAATCCCCACTTCTATTTTTCACAGAAAGAAGATAAAGCTAGTAATGTGCGACGTAATTCCTGACAGTTTTCTACAATTTCACCGCGTTTTGTTTCGGAGTTCAGAAAACAAACAGTAGGTAAGATGTACAATTTTTTCTCACGACTTACGCGTAGTATTTTTTTGCAATAACAGCACAGGGAGCCCAGGAACGAAAATCAACTGTAATACGCAGTCTCTATGAGCGGGGGAGGGGTGGGGGGTATCGGCTGGTATCTAGTGTAAAAAATAGACAAGGGATGAAGGCTCCAGCCAGCTCACATTTTTTAAACTCGAAAAAACAGACGAAAAGAATGAAAAATAAAATATAAAAAAATAACAGGTTGAAGAATATTAGTTGCTTCTTCAAATTACGCCAAAACCTTACCTATATTTTACCGATATCTGCAGAATAAATCAAGAAAACTACACAAATTTACTCCATTTAGGAATTCCATTTAGGAATTAGGAAGATAAAATAATAATAAAACTGTCAATTGAAATGCTATTTAGAGTGTTCCTAACATTTTAATTGTTAATTTTGGAAATTATTTCGCACTGACTACAGATGTGGTTTAAGTTTTTTGAATAGTTCTAATAACAAGTATACAGGTCTGGTTGTGTGAAAGATGTTTGAGAATTCGGCAATCAAAGTTGCCAGCAAATGTTGGCTGTGTATCAAGATTTTAGTTTGCTAAGTCCAAAGTGCAAGGTCCTGGCTCAATGATAGCTTTTGTTTAAAATACATTATTTATGGGGAAGTTCTACTAGGACAAACTAAAACAGACATATTTATATCTGTTGTGACCTTGAAATAATGGCTAGATGAGATATTAGTTGTTTTTTGCCATAAATGTCCTGTATCCTCAGGTCAGATATCTAGGCATTTTCACCATCAGCAACCATCACAGTGAAAAAAAAGGCCGAAAATTCCCAGAAAACAATACTTTGGGATAGTTGTTGAGACTCTACTGAGCAGGGTAACAAGATTACTTCAAATTTGACTTTGTGCTGTTTTCTTGACTATAGCTGAGGGATCTTCCCATGCTGGAACGCTGACTGGAGAGCAGATGAAAAAGGCTAATAGCCTTTTGCACCTGCTCTTTGGCCGGCGTTCCACAGGAGCTCGCACAGAGCCCATAAAAATACATGTTACAGTGATTGGAATACATTGTATTGTATTGAGTGGTATAGCCTGTATATTGGCACTATTCTGAATTCTAACCTGCCATCCAGACAACGTCATCTGTATATTGGCAATTGATCTTAAAAACATTCGGACTGCTGCAGTCATTTTATAGAAATTCATTCTTCCTGTATTTTCAGTTATTAAAAATGCCAAATAATGGCCATGAAAGTGAGAATGGACCAAAATTTGTCATATAAACAATTTGTATTTTATGAAGTGTTCAAATGAATGTTACGATTTACCTTGCCAAAATTGTTTTATTTCTCAATATCAAATGTATTTGTTTTCTTCTATTTGCGTTTCACAGTATTTGAGAACATGGCGGACAGTGTGGAAGTGGTATTTACTTTAAAAGAGTGGGATGTTGAATTATCAACACCACATGCTGTACAAATTATCTTTCAACTTATTCTTGGTGCTGAAGGTAACTATCACCTTTGTTGTTATTTCTGTAATACACATACATACAGGGAATGAGATCCAATTTCAGTGTTGTGTATGTACTTTAATTTAATTGGTCTTTTCAATCCCTACAAAACCTTTGCTTAGGTAGAATATATGGAAATAAATCTCACCTCTTCTTCTCCTCAGTAAAGTTGATAAAATTGTTTTTTTTTTTTTTAATCACTACGAAACCTTTCCTTAGGTAGAATAGATGGAAATAAATCTCAACTCTTCTTCTTCCCAGTAAAGTATTAATAATTAGGATTATTTTTAAAGTTGCAAAATCGATAATATTGAGAAAAGTTTGACACTGTATGTTTATTTATACATTGGTTTATGTTTTTATCATGTGCTAAAAATGAATTTCTACATCACACATGTGATGATGTGCACTTATTGTTTTGGTACACAATAACAACATTATTTTTTTTTCTTTGATCATCAAACGATTACTATACAGAGTGCTGCCAAAGCAGTATGTTTGGTTTATGCTTTGCTAATCAAACAATAGTCTTACAGCGATTCTGAGTATAATTCTGACAGTCAGTTAGCGAGATGATTTACAACTTTGAAAAACACTTTGGTTTTGCTCCAAACTAGACTTGACGCCATTCCATTACCGTACTAGACAAGGCTAAATCACAGTTTTTCAAAATTATGTGCATACTCATTTGAATATATGAATTCTGTAAAAGGGTTAATTATTCACTGGGTTATAATTTTGATTATTTCGCTGACTGGAAAATGCGCTAAAAATAAAACCCAGTGAATATGTAAAATTGAGCATAGAACACACTATCTAAATGATAAAACCATGAATTTAAAACCTGAAATGCTAAATCAGTGAAATTTAAACCAAGTGAAAATTAGTCATTTTACAGTAAATTATTTTGATTTGTTTAACCATTCTTGAATCACAAAAAAAATGTAGATACTCAAGAAAGATAGTTATTTAATACATACACTAGTTTAGCATAATCATCATATTGATAATCCTCATAAAATACTGAATCAAGTCTATAACACTGCAAAATCCAAATGTTTCAAGCCATTTTTTCTGACTGATGCGTCAAATAATTCTCAGAACCACCGTGAAATATACATGTACATTATGTAAGTAAATAATTGCAAGTAAAGAGCACACAATATATCTATCATTTGCTTAATATTTGGAAGTTTATGATGAATCATTTCATGATGTTCCCAGTGGTTCATTTTTTTCCAAAATTAGCTTAGAACATTTTGTTTAAAATGGTAACTGGCATCATGAGACATTTCTAATTATTTGCCGTATTTTAGTTGTGAAACAGTAAATTTAACAAAAATTTAACAGGCTTTTTGTCTGAAATGATTAACAAAATTAGGACATTTAAAAAAAATCTCAATCACTGTATTCTTGACCTACTTGAGTTTTTTCTATTATTCAAGTAACTTCTGTTTGACCTTAACCTTTGACCTTTTGCAGGTCATCATGATCCAGTAAGCATTAAGAATAAAAATCGGAATGATTCAGCGAGTATAAAATTTGGGATTTCCCAAACAGCCGTTCCTGTGTTGAAGCATATATTGTCCAGCTCTAAGCAGTCAGTGTTTAGAGAACTTGGAGTGACCAGTATCAAAATTGGTGAAGATTACAAGCAGACCCTGAAAACACAGTGTAATACTGCAGGTCAGATAGTAATCATAGTTATAAATTTTATAATCGTAAATCAGTTATCGTGGCATCATGTGATGTATACAACATCCATAAAATACATTTATTAGTTTACATGGCATATTACTGTAAAATCTGTATTAGAAGCCGCGGCTTCTATTAAAATGGTACAATGCAACAGAGGGGATGCGGCTTCTATTAGAGCATCTACCCTTATGAGAAATGATGATTTTTTGATTCTCAATTATTCAAAAAGAATGGGTGCGACTTCTATTAGAGATGCGGACAGAATTTACAGTAATTTCCGCTGCATGATACATTTAATGCGTTTAAATGAGAAGTCAAGTTTATAAAAAGAATAATTCTGTTATCATTTCCTTTTAATTGCTAGTATTCAAGATATACCAATACATATACCCTATTTTTTTTTTTTTAAGCTAAGCAGCTATACTTGTTTCTACTTCCTCATTCTGTTACTTCCTCTGTCTTTTTGTCATGTTAATTTCCGGTGTGCAGTATGTGCATTTCAGTATGTGCATTTCTTTATATACAGCTTGCTGTTTATTTGGTTTGTTATGATGACATTGCCCACCTACATCCCCAATTTAATTTTTTTTTATTTAATTAATTGAATTGCTTTAATGTAATAATTCTTTTGTGAATTTCGCATGTTATAGAGATTTAGGTAATTATGTAGCAATGAAAATTTAGTTGAAATCAATTTTGAAAACATGGCCAAAAA